GCGCCGTCTTCAGGCTTGTCCTCTTCGTAGTCTTCGACGTCTTGCTCGTTTTCTGGTTGGTCGTCCTTGTGCTCAACTTCAATTTCCGACACGACATCCTCCTCGTCGACGGGTTCGTTGATATCTTCTTCAATGAGAATGGACTCTTGAGTCTCGGATTTCTCGTCGGGGACTTGTCCACTTCCGTCTTCAACTTGTTCCACTCGCAAGTTGCGCTTATGGTTGACGTTGGCGACGGCTTGGGGCTTGTGCGCTCCGTTGTAGTCCATGCCAGCGACGAGGACGGCACAGAGAGCGGCAAGGAGAATCGAAATCTTCATGGAGTACTTGATGTTGTGGTCGGGAATCAAATTTCAAATGTTCTGTCTGCATCCTCTGCCTTTCGTTGACGACGGTTACTCTGAATCGGTTTCTGTGAAACGGACGCGTTTTTTATAGCTCGTACGCTTCAAATAGGTCGCTGGTTTCCGCGTGGCAAGTTGCTCGAGAAGGAAGATGTGCAGTCGGTTTATGTGGCAAATGAGAAGGGATACATTTTTGGGTTGTTGCTGACGCTTCAAAACTCCTGTGTGCGTAAGCAGGCGAGCCGAGTTGAGGACAGCGTTGACGTTCGCGCTCGACTTCCAGATTTTGGAAATGCTGTAGTTGGTGTGTGCCCACAGGGCCAAGTTGAGTATGATCGAGGTCTCGATTCCTGTTCTAGACTTTCCCCTGTGTGTGAACGATATCCACTCGGACTTGTTCTCGACACTTGAGGGGATTTCTCGCCTCCACATCGTCAGACCCGCCGTTGAATGCACGCAGCGACGCTCCTAAAATAGTGGCCCATGGACAACACCAAAGGCCATGAAAATATGCGACAGATATATGGTGCTACTTGAGCCCATGATGCTCGGAACACAAGAGCGCGGTCCGTTACTGCGGCAAGTTCTTCTCGACGCTTGGTCGCGGTCTTGGATGTACCAGTCAGGCATGGCTCTGCTTATTGCCAAGCCACAGCACTAACGTCACTAACGCAGGCAAGTACTCTTGTTGCGCACATACTGGTTCAAAGAGAGCTTCCTGCCTTGAGCTGCTGTTGTGCTGGCAACCAACTTGTTCAACATATCATTCCCTTTGCGCAAATCATTAAGATGGCTTGCCACGAGGATATGAGCTCTATTTTAAGCGAACCAAGAATGTGCTCGAGAGCAAGAGATACCAATGAGCCGACCTCGCAGCGGAGAGTTTGCAGTCATATTCATCAAGCAGTATTGTAAGACAGGGGTCGTCGCAACAAAATGGATGGTTTTGAGGTGGCGCTCTTTGCCGGCTAGCTGGCTGAATGCGAACATGCACCATCGGGTACAATCGCTGATCGTAGCTTTTATTAGCAGTAATTGTGACATGAGGGCGAGAATGAAGTGGTTTCGTTGCAAGGGTTGCCACAATCGTCGGGCAATGCGAATGAACTCATTTTTGAATTGCCTCGCGCGTACACTACCAATATGAAGATTTCGATTCTCCTTGCCGCTCTCTGTGCCGTCCTCGTCGCTGGCATGGACTACAACGGAGCGCACAAGCCCCAAGCCGTCGCCAACGTCAACCATAAGCGCAACTTGCGAGTGGAACAAGTTGAAGACGGAAGTGGACAAGTCCCCGACGAGAAATCCGAGACTCAAGAGTCCATTCTCATTGAAGAAGAAGATATCAACGAGCCCGTCGACGAGGAGGATGTCGTGTCGGAAATTGAAGTTGAGCACAAGGACGACCAACCAGAAAACGAGCAAGACGTCGAAGACTACGAAGAGGACAAGCCTGAAGACGGCGCGCCCGAAGAAGACACGCCAGCAGAAGAGCCCGCCGACAAGCCAGCAGATGAGCCCGCCGATAAGCCAGCAGATGAGCCCGCCGACACTCTCGCAGACAAGCCAGGTTCCACCGACGAACACAAGGAGGAAGCTGCGGATGCGCACAAAGGAAAGCACTAAGATACCGTCCAAGAAGCCTCGGCCTGGCAATCCAAGGCGCACGTGGTAGACGTCCGCTTTGATGCGACGATGGCCTTGGCGTCTCTGTGCAGATACTGAACGTTGTTGATCTTCAGCCCATGCGGTCCATGGAATTGTGATCCAAATAAGAAATCTATTTGTCACCCGTCGTACGCCAAACAAACCCACAACATGCGAGTGAGCACAAGAACGCGCCTTCCGTGCGATCAAGTTGCGGAAATATAGGTGTCGATGGCACCTCTTTGAATCACCACGGTCGCCATCTTCCACACCTTCGCTTCGGCACATTACATGTTGATCATGCTTGTTCAAACCAGGCCGTGAGCCTTTGCTGAGTGTCTGTCACCTGGCAAGGGCGTTGCAACAGTGGCCTTTGGGCAGGTTCACCCACGGTGCAACTAGTTTGCCATGAGAATATATGGTTGTATTCTTAATTTGCGGTGTTCCCAGCACTCAAGCTAGGTCCCTTGTTTGTAATCTCCTGGCCGTGGTCGACGAAATGTCCAGTCGGAACCAAATGCCGAAAGTGCCGTCGATGGGAACGTCCCAAAATTATCCATCCTTACAGTGTGTTCTGTGCGCGTGTTTCATCACATTGGCGGCGGCTGCGCTCAGCTTTGGAGGTGAGTCTGTTGCTTGGAATGTATCGATTTCTTCGTAGCCGGCTACTCGAATGTCGTCGAACGGGCTAGAAACTCCACCAAAAATGCTCAAAATTTAATTAAGGGGAATCATTTCATTGGCTGATATAAATACTCATAAAACTGTAAAAGATAGTATACAATTCCAAAGGTTTCAAATGGTGGTGGCGGTCGCAGTCAGTTTGCTGAAGATATGTGGTCTCGAGTTGCCGCCATCGGAGCTCGCCGCTTCGGATCGCATGCGCACAAGCACGTGCCGGAGCAATTCGTGCGCGACCAAATCGTGTCCGTGACTCTCCTCGACTGGGAAGGCAGTCGCCACATTGTGCAAGGGCGTGTGGGTCAGTCCCTCTTTGAAGCGTCGCGACTCGCAGGTCTCGACATTATCCAAGACGATTCCCTTGGCGGCGGCGGTGCCTCGTACAGCGCTGTCCGTACCCCTGAGTTTACGGAGAACTTGTTTGGGGAAGGGCCTTCCTCTTTCTTGTCCCACGTCGTTGTGTCGAACGAATGGGTGGACAAGTTGCCCCAGCCCACGGAACGCGAAGTGCGTATTTTGCAAGACGTGCCGGAGGAAGACTGGACCGAAAACTCGCGCTTGGCGACGGAAATCATCCTGTCCAAGGATTTGGAAGGCTTGGTTGTCGCTGTGCCCGAAGCGCAGCCTATTGAAACGTTCACGTACACGAACGACTACGAAGACGAAGGGCCGCCGGTGTACTCGATGTTCCCTCCGTCACTTCGAGGCGATTAGAATGAAAAGACAGAGAGAAACGATGCCCGATTAACGAGTCGAGTATATGTATACCAAGGTGGACTCGGTGAACAGCGCCTCGTCGACATGTGACTTGCACAGGCATCCTCCACAGGTGGTCCGGATCTCGTCACATCCCGCCTTGCCAACTTGCACGAAGGACCTTCTCATGGCGGCATCGTCGCTGTGTCTCCACGGTGCCAGTCGTATCGATGTAACGCGTGACCGTTTCCGTCGAATCGGTTTCTGCGCCTCTGCATTTCGTTGCAAGCAGCGGCGAGCGATGGCGTTCCTGCCGACGTTGGTCGACTACTTCGTCGAAGTGTCCATTGTCGGTACGTCTGACCGAACGATTCCTCGGTCCCGTACTCCGTAACCTCGATGCAATGAACCAGACACGGAGCACACTTCGGTTCGCGCGATCCGTCAACGCATCCCCGCCACCGACCGCGACCACTTCCCACTCCCCGATGGCGTTCGATACGTGCGTGGTTTCGAGTCCATGCGTCGCTAATGTTCAATCTAGTTTTGTCTCCCAGACAAACTCAACCTGCGGCCACGCGCCGCCTACGAACGCGTGCCGACTTTCCACTCGTTTACCCTCACCGGCGGCGACGGCTCCCGCGCATTCGGGTTTGCGCTGACAACGTACGATCACGACGATGACCACTGCGGTACGACAACTACACGTTGCGCCATGCCCTCAATCGCGCTCGTCGCCAGGCCACGCAAGCGTTGCCGTACCTCGCGTGTTTTGCTTCATTTCGCACTTTCCAATCTTCTCGCTTTTCCAACAAGTGCTCGGGTACTTGGCTTTCGCTCGCGCACTCTCCACTCAATCGTGTCGACCAGTTGGATTTACCACCATCGCGACCACGTCGACGACACCGCCCCGTGCAACCTACGGCGCTGCATCCTTCCCATGCCACGTCGCAGCGGCAATCAAGAGGTGACTCGCACCTTGAAACTTCGCTGTCGTCATGCCTCCATTGCGTTTCCAGGAAGTGGCGGCCGTGTCCGCCGCCGTGCCGTGGGCAAGCATAATCCACGACTTTGTCATGACGAGTGTGGCGCCGCACGGCGGCTCCATCCTGGACGTCCACCTCGGGCTCGATTTCGTGTATACGCACACGCTGCACAAGAGCGCGCTCCCGCACGTCGACGACATGTGTTTCCAGCTGCTTTTCCAGCACCTGAGCGTCAAGAACATCGTTCTCATTCTGAACTGCATGATGCTGGAGCAGCGCATCCTCATCCACTCGTCGGTGGGAACGCAATCCTTACGTCGTAAGCTCACCATGGCGTCGTGCTGACCAGCATCATGGGCTGCTGACGCCCGTGTGCGAAGCCCTTTGCGCGCTGTTGTACCCGTTTGTGTGGGAGCACGTGTACATCCCCATGCTCCCGATGAAGCTCATCGACTACTTGCAAGTACATCCACAGCAGGCTGCCACTCCCGGCTGCTGCAGACTGAGCTGCTGTGTCTAGGCGCCGGTGCCGTTTTTCATGGGGGTGCATACGACGTACTTGACGACGAAGATCGGCGCCGACTCGTTCGCGTCGTGCGTTGTGATTCACCTCGACAAGGATAAGGTTGTGCGCCCCATCCACGCGGCACTGCCCGACTGGACGGGCCAAGACTTGCCTCACGTGGAAGACCACCACCTCCCCAAGTTCCCGCCCGCTCCGCTCTCGACCCTCGTGGCGACCGTCAAGACCGTCCTGGAAGAGTACGCGCCCCCTACCAACCCCCACACTGGTACACTACCTCGCCTTTCGACGAAACCCAAAGACACACTCACTTGGACCAATTTTCAGCTGCAACGAACCGCATCCGCCAACGCCGCAAAGCACGCACGTCCGACGCGCTCACGATCGTTCGCAGCAGCTCCGTCGCATCGTGCGACCTCCATTGCGACACCCCTCCGTACGTCGCTCCCGAAGTCGAGATATCGTTTGGCCATGGACCGGTTCGTCGCTGCTTTGTAGCCATGGATTGATGTGTCTCGTTTCGCCGTAGCTTGGCATCACGTTCGAGTCGTCCCGCGTGTGGCTGCTGGCCACCGGCCTGGCCGATGCGTCGTCTACTCCGTCGTGTGCAGCTTCGGCCGTCGTGAAGGCATTTCCGCAGCTTCAAAATGGCCTTCCCGGCCCCGCGGCGCTGTCGGGCTTGATCGCCCCTGGTAGTTACCTTCTCAGCGTCAACGACCACTCGACGTTGCACTTGTCGTTCGAAGCAACGTGCGAATTGCTTCGCCACGAACCGCGCCCGCTCGTCCTGCGCTTTCAAAACGCGACGCAAATGCCATACCAGAACGCGATGCAGTTTGCAGCTCGCGTGCGCGCGTCCAGCCTCGTGGCGCTTCCCCCCAACGTCCCGCGGCCAGTGCAAAGCGTCGACCACGTCGAGTGGGTCGACGCGATTCGCGTGGCATTCGCCTCGTTTTTCATGGTGTTGTTCCCCGACATTGCGCAGTACGTGACGATTCAGCCCGCGCTTGCGACGACAAAAAAAGGACAAATCGCACGACGCCACAGCGTCCAGCGGTTTGTGTCGTTTGATCGAGAAGGCTTCCTTCGGACGCGCCGGTCGCCGTCGCTCGCCTTCTTCACTGCGGTCGTAGACACCCAGGCGTTTGTGGCGTTTGTAAACGACACGGCAGTCGGGCAAAGTCCTCACTTGGGGTTGGAGTCTCCCTTTGTCGACTTGTTTCATGAATGCGTCCAAGTGATGGATGTGCCGGGGGCAGTACAGGCGCGGCTAGTGCGGGGGGCGGCGGTCGGACCCGACAAACGAGTCGTGCTCAAATGCCAAGGAAGACGTGGCAAGGCCCCGTCTCCCGTCGCAACCTCCTCGATACATGCATCACCTTCGTCCCCGACTGAGCGAACTACTGCATCGTCGCCCGCCTCGTTCACGTCTCCGTCGGTCATGTCCAAGTTGTTTCAGGATTTGGAGCTTGAAATCGGCGAGGTCGACGTGGCAGACGAGCCAGTGATCCGGGTCGACACCCCGCAGAAACGCAAGTCGGTCACGCGACAGTTGGAAAGGTTGATCTGTGGCGCTGTGATTGAGGTTGGCAAGTCATCCGATGCCGAAAGAGATGACGATTTGACCAGGTGCCACGTGAAGGCGACATGCACCAGGGCAACGGCCTCGGGCGGCGGCGGCGCTCTCTCAGCGACACGTCCATGCTTCAGCTCGAAGAAGAGCTCCTTCGCCCACTCGATAGTGACGTCGTCCTAGCGGCAGTCCCAGTAGGAAAGCTCCATCAACAGGGCACGAACAGCACGACGGTGGCCGTGGCTCGGCAGCCGCACGACGATGGCGAGATCAAACGCAAAATCAAGCGAGCGCCGCGGTAAGGCTCGCTCTCGCTTGGAATGTACCGCTCCCGTGCAAATGTCAACTTGTATGTGATTGTAGACCCAAGTTCACGTCGGACAAGCTCTGGGCCGCGTTTCGGCGCAAGGCCAAGGCATGACGACTTCCACGTGCATTCCCCAAAGAAGACCAAAATGCTGTCGGTGCTGGTCGAAACTTGATTAAATAGCTCATCCGTCCCTTCGAAATCCGCTTCGGAGTTTGTCGAAGAACGACACTTTTTTCGGAGGCTCTGCAACGACTGGAGGGGGCGGCGTGGGAGGTGGGTATGAAGAACCAGCCGTGTGCCTCCGCGCCTTCTTCGTTGGCGACCCCACTCCTGCTGACGACTGCTTTAGTCTTTGACTCGTCGCGTTCAATTGTTCAGGTGGATGGCCGTCCGCGGCCATGAAGGCTTTGACTTCGTTGTGGGAGAACCCCAAGGACAGCAAGTTGCTAAATTTGGCTGTCAATTCAGAGTGCTCGTCATAGGATGGAATGCGAGCCACAGCGCTTTTTCGAGTGTACGACGAGGGAGCAGCGGCCGCACTTGCCGAAACTGGTGGCGCGCCAAACAGGTCGTCGTCGTCGGCCGCTGGGGCATCTGACGTCGTCGTGGCGCTCGTCCGCTTCTTCTTTTTCTTCTTGCGTGTTTCTAACGGCTTGGTTTCGTCCAGCGCGGCCGTAAGCCGTGTCTCGAGCTTTGCAGCTTGGAGATGCTGGCGGTACTTGGGAAAATTGCGCGCGTCGAGCCTCGTCCGTCGAGGATCTGTGAGGTATGAAATGGGTGGCTGGGACAAGTCTGTCGTGGACGATGCCGACGGTAGGGTGTTGTGGGCCCTCGCGCGGGCTTCGTATTCCTCCTGCTTTTGCCGCTCCCGCTCGCGTTCGCGAAGTTGTTTGCGCTTGGCCTTGGCAAGCTTCTGTCCTTCGTGGCTGTCGGGATCTGTGATCGCTCGGATGGATTTCACCCACAGTGTGACTTCATTGCGATTGTGGCCTGTGGCCGAGTACTCTTTTCCTTTTTCCGTTATAAACTTGAACGAGTTGTCCAAGGTCGAAAACATCGTTTTGCCATTCCATTCCTTGGCGCATCCGACACACGGCGATCATGACGATACTCATATGGAAGTTGGTAAACGCATATACCTTTGTACCGCCAAGACGAACTTGATGGACAAACGCTGTCGGCTGCGCTACCGCGGCTTCTTCTGACTCGTAGACGGTAAACACTCCTGTGTCCGTGAGGACGCAATAGTACTCTTGGCTACACGTCGTACCCCATGATCAGCACGAGGTATATTCCCAGCATGCACGTACAAGGATAGGGACATGCCATAGCGAAGGTTGAGGAATCCTTTGTACAGGAGCTCGCCGTCCGCCACCGTCGCCGCCATCGTCCCGTGACCAGTTTGTAACTTCCCACCAACTTCCCCATGTCCTCATCGGTACTTAATCGAAGGGGTTTCTGCTTTACGTCGTTTTCCTCAACCTACAAAAAATCAAGAAAAAGTTGCAATTTTTTGATCGTGTCATCGAATTATTGTACCAATTACAACAATAATAACATCCTTTGTAATATTGTTAGAATGCAATGCATGGGTGCGCGCAGCAGGGAGAATCGGTCAGGTTGTTCATGGACATCTTTCTCGGTTCCGGACGAATCGGGACAGCAGCCCAAGCACCAGAAGAGAGGTCGCTCGACCTCACAGAGGATACCTCGTCAGTGCGGGGCCGACCGCCTGTCGTGTGGTCTTTGGTGTCCCTTGGGTTCCTCCATGGACGCTAGCTAGTGCCATCTGGATGACACCTCCCCATCCTGCTGGCGGCACGAAGCACCGCAATTGTGGATACGTTGTCGTGTTGTAGTGGCAAACTCCGCTGTGGCCATGGCGCTTCAACGAGTCCTGGGTTGTCCTGGTGGTCGGTGATTCTGTCGTTTTCGAGTGTACATCTGAGATCATCTGAGATCGGCTCTGGTGCAAGTTTCGACTCAGGCTCTTGAGCCACTGTCGCCTCCTTCAAGGGCGCGTCGGCCGTCGACACATCCAAGGAACCCGAGCCACGTTCCTGTACGCAGTGTATTCCCAACAACATGTTAACTTCGACGTTTGCACAGCGCCTTGCTCTGTCCCGAGTCTTCTATCGACTCGCCCAGAGACCCCAAGACGGGTGGCTCTAAATCTTGCCTTGTTTAGGCTTGAAGTGGTGCTTCATGCCGAGCGAAAAGCAGTCGCGCTCGACCATTTCGTGCGGCGGCACAAAGAGCTAATTTTCAACGTTTAAGACAACGCTTAGCACAAAGTTTCACGGCCTACCTCGTCCCGACGTGCTCCATCTTGCTCGCTCTGGTACCGCTCCGGTGACTCGAGTTGTCTCCAGTCCAGGTGCTGGATGTCCGACAGACTTTGCGACAGTGGCTGGTGTGTGGGGATCACGATCGGGTCCGACGACATTTTGCGCGTTCGGACGCCGCGAACTGATGGACTCATGCCGCCAGGCCGAGAATGGCGCGGAATATTGTTCGTCATTGGCGATGGCGCGGGCGTGGATTGGAATTCGTCTCCGGCTGCAACCGCCGCGGACTGGACTTTCAATGCGCTCAAGTACTTGACGCGCCACTTTTGCTCGTTCGACGACATGTATTTGGCTGTGTTGGGCATCGAACGACTTCGGATCAGCGATGGAGCCACGCCCGGTCTAGTTGCAAGCATTTGTCAGAGACGTGGATGAGCAGCTCGTCCAAGCAGCTTACGTGTGGGCGCCACGGCGGGTGGGGATCGCGAGGCCGGCCATGGATGTCACGGTCGGGCGCGACGGCAGCTCGTCCGTCATGTCGTCGTCGGTGGCAACATCCGAGCCACTCTCCGTTCCGTCGTCGTCGTTCCTGAGTTGATTGTCGTCGTCGCAGTCCGAGCCGTTCCCAAACAAGAGATCGGACTCGTCCATCTCGAAGTCGACGTCCATCGCGATGTGCAGTCGCTCGATCGAGTGTCGGTGGCGAAGGCAGGGCACGTGCTCGAGGTCGCCCCAACCCAATACTGATGCTACTTTTCACGGTCAACCAGATCGAAGTTGAACTTGCTCCGCACCGCCAACAGCCCTCATTAAATTATCGAATTGTTTGTATTCTTGGCATGAAACGACTCGCGCATTGGGTTCTGGACGACGGATTCTTCAATTGCATTTGGATTTTTACCCCACACACGGTTATATCTGCCGACAACGATTCCATGCATTTCATTCGCTGAATGATAGCACAAAACATCCAATCATCGATTTTTCCATGAATTTCGATTCATTGTTCGACAAATTCGCTGGGCTCGGATGCACACAATTGGACACACCAACGGGAAACCACAAGGTGCACATGCAATGTATCTGTTCAGTTGTACAAATACTACGCAAAATTCATCTACTTTTTGTAATGTACGTCAAACTTGTAGAAAAATCAAGTGCAAAAAGTGATATATTTCGATAAGTCGGACTACTGACTCACCGTCCATTTGAATATGAGCCAGTAGTCTTTTGTCGCCAACGCGGTCCAACAAAACCGCCATCGCGCCAGCACGAAATAGCAACGTCGCCGCGGCCAGTAGTGGATGATGCGACAGACAAACGCGAGGCGGCAGAGTGTCGACTGCTGCGTTAGATACTTCTCGCAGCACCAAAACGAAATCGTTGGTGGGGGGGCGTTGTACCTGGTGCGCATCGTGGGAGCCTCTGCCACACAGGAACAGCAGCATATCACACAACATGCGCGGCGTCCCTCAAGACTTGGTCCAGCATGTGGCATTCGCTGATCGAGTCACGCGACGATGAGGATAGTGACAGGTCCTCGATCATCCAGCACCATTCGCAGCCCCAACAGGCGCCGAGACCACCGAGATGTTGTTGACTTGGAGGATCGGCAACGGGTGGTGGCGATCGTCACTTCAACGATTACCACAAGCAGTAGGTTCTGTCGCATGTATACGGTCGGCCGTCCAGAGCAACGCCGCCATCGAACCAGGTCGTTATATACCAGCACAAGGTGAACGTTCCAATGCTCGCTCCCGCAAGGCAAGCTACTCACTTGCTGCTGCCTTGGCTGGGCGGCTGAACGGCGTCGCCTTGCTACGACGGGGATGGTGCACGAGTGTTCCTGTGGCTACTCATCTATATCCGCTCAGACCAATGCGTGATCGCCCGCAGAGCACCGTGCGATGGGGCGGCAAGCTTGCTTGGTGCCTGCTCGATTCACATCACCGCCACACAAAACATGCGACACCGTGTGCACATCGATCTCTCGCAGTCTGGCTCGCGATCACGTTCAAGTTTGCCATCGCATCGGGTCGTGGGTGCCTCCGTCCATACGACCCGATCGCTTGCCCCTGTGTGTGCCAGCTCGCGCAGGTTCCGAACGTGCCTCGAGTCTGCGCACGTCGATTTCATATCTTGCTTCTATGTGTACATAACGATGTGGGTTTCAGGTGCTAGGTGGCGGCCGGGCGAGCGGTGGCAGGTTCCAGCAGTTTCAACACGGTTTGCTGGAATTCGACCATGACATCGTCGTGCTTCTCGTGCAGCAAACCCGATCGCGGTGTTGGATCCGACACACTCACGACCCCGACGACGGCATGAATCTCTTTGGAGGGACCTGAACGGACCGTCAGGGGGAGGCCGTAGAAGCAGCGAGTGCCCCGAGCTGCCGACTTGGTGAACCGGCCGTCCATTTGCGCGTCCTCAACAACAAACACACACTGGGCGTTCCCTTCATTCAGCGACGCAGTGGCCAGGACGTGGTGAAGGAACAAATCGTGCGGTCCACACACTCCATGGACAGCCTTGGACACAAACCGGTCGGTCGGATCGACCAACGTCACTGCTGCACTCGCGCAGCCCATGCGTCGAGCCGTCATCATGCACGCCACGTCCAACAACGTTTGGTGTCGGTCGGCGTGCTGCATGGTGTGAAGCCGCACTGCCACCGTCGCTGCCATTGTATGTTTCCAGCTCTTGCTGGGGGTGAAGAGTGTCGAGGGTGGTCGAGACAGTGGTTCGCTCGAGGGTTCAGGACCGGGGTGGGTGCCGGCAGTGGAGGCGGCAGTTGCCGGGGATAGCGACGACGTTTTCAGCGCTTTCATGAGCCCTGGTGCGAGAAGGATCGCCGGGGCTGTCGAGGTTGGTTCAGCGAATGGCGAGGCGCCATTCGGTTTAAGAGATTCCACGCACGCGACGCACACTCGAATTTCGACGACCACGTCATGTGCAGGGACTTGTTGGGCAGTTGAGCACGCTGAGCACACGACTTCACTACAGAGGCGACAAACGCGCTGCTTCATGAACGCCGTGAATGTACGGGCGCATACGCGGCAGGCGAACGCTGGGTCCCCTGGGGTTCTCGACGGTACCGCTGTTGATTGCTGCCCAACCGCTCCTAAGAGGCGCGCTGCCAAGCGCTGCTGCAAGTGCCACTTCGGGATCATCTCGACAGCATCTCCAAATTTCGTCAATAGGCGCTTCGTGTCGTCGATCAAGCCATCGGCGTAGCAGTAGTGGCCTACAAAACTTACACGCACGCGGCTCGTGGCAATCGCCGTCGCGGTGTTCGACGGATTGATCGCTTGGACGAGGTAGCACATCAGAACGTGCTGGTGACGGTCAACTGAATCATTGTCGCTGCCATGGCGTGGCGTGCGGCACTCGGACGCAACATCCACCGACTTGATCATGCGGACAAACGCCGAGTCGGACTTATGCTCTAGGTAGTTCATGTACAAGAAGTCCCGTAGCGCGGGCTTGGCGACGAAGTTGAGCGCACCCCGGGAATCTTGGAACAGCGCTTTCTTGATAGCAAGCGAGCGAATGTTGCATGTAGTCGTTGTCGTCTGTGGTGACGACGATGACGAGTTCGACAACAATTTGGAATCGCCGCCGGAATGGCTGCTGCAGCTGTGGCTCGGTTGGCGGCTCCCACTCGCCACCGACGCTTTGGCTTTGGTAAGGCCGCGGACGGTCGTTGCAGTCATTGGTTTTTGTCGGCGGACGTCCGAGTTGGACACCAGCGAAGTGCCGAACGTCCGTGCCAAGAACATATCTGTGTGGGACGTGGGCTCGTCCTCAAAGAGCGTAAGGACTTCTGCCAGGGTTGCCGGGAACACGGAGGATGCATGAATCGTGTACACGTTTGCAACCGGGTCCACTTTGACGCGTGTCGTCGAGCATTTCCCACTCCCGAGTCGCTCCAAGTACTGCTCCGCGTTCATGCCGATGATAGAAGTCTCCATGTGCTCGGACAGTGCGATGGCGCGCTGGTACATATTCACGTCAGGTGCGTCGATCGCGTTCGTCGGGGCGTAAGCCCATGGCCACTTCACATTGGACGGCTGCTCTGCGTGGTGGGACGCCTCATCGCCAAATCGCGGGTTGTTCAACCGCGGCAGGGTCGGCATAGCTGGGCCAGAACTCGATGCAAAGTGAGCAACGCACGATGTGGTACGTGCCGCTATTGTGTTGGCTCTAGCCCGCCGTCTGGACGGTATGTCGCATCCAATGTTTCGTCTCACCGTTCAGGGACATGCAGACAATGGACCCCGTCATGTTGGATATTGTATCTATTGGTAACTTAAGTGGTGGTTCGATTGGCACTAACCAGCACGACTCGCGCGATCCTTTCTACGCTTGTCCTCGGGTCGGCTCGCTCACGCACCTCATGGGCTCCAAGGATCGCGCGGCAATCGCATCGTCGCCACGACCGCGGGCAATGAGGCCAGACGAATTCTCAAGGAGTCTGCGCTGTTCGCTTCGCAGGCTGGTGATGTCGCATGCGAAAATCTTGCCGCAACGAAGTTGACTTAAGTACTGCACCATGAACCTGGCCTTGCTGGAGAAGGTGTGTATGTCACGGGAAAGGATGGCATCTCAACGAGGTGCCCCATCGAGCGACGGAAGTCTTTGATTCGTCGATGAGAATCGTGAAAGTTTTGATTGGGAAGGTGAGGGAGCATCTCTCCTCACGATTCCGAACGGGAGAGGGTCTAGAGCTGGACGAACCGCTTCATTGTTCAGCCAAAATTCCCAAGCGACGCAGCAAAGGTGGTTGGACAAGCAGCGCCGCGTGGCCAGACTAAACTGGCGGCGACTGGGAAGCGTCGTGGCATCTCGTACGACTGACGGGGGTGCGCTAACCCCAGCCATTCATCACTTTGCGACACACGCAACCTGATTGTGTCAGCACAGCGTTACTGGTTGCTTTTCATGTCGACAAGGAGCTTGCCGACCGCTGTTGGGCAACGATACATGTGCCCATACGTTTGACATCGGCGATGGGGCATTGGAAACAAGGCGTCAACGTTAGTCCAGTCGGCACGAATGATCGAAATTCATGGTTCGGGGGCGACTCTGCGGCGGCGGCGATGGTGGAGCAAACACCAAGGAGTCATCCTTCATCACTACGTGGCACTTAAGATCTGTCGTAGCTGGGGTTACCGGCCATGACTAGCCAGATGAGTGATCGAGAGATGGGGACACCAATTGGGCTTAAACCACCATTCAGAGTTAGTAAACCTATCCTAGCTAATCTATCCCAGCACTGTGAACGACCGCGCCTTCCTCCCGACTTGTTCGGTCCTAAAAGTTGTGCCGGCTGTACAATTGGGCGCCCAAGCCTGTGGCGCTTGCTGTCGTTGTTGACTTGGGGACCAATGGGACGTTTGGATTGTAGCTGGACTGGAATGGCCGCTTCCCACCAGACAGTACGTCTGGAACTGCTCCGTACGCGTGCTCGTTGTTGTCAGAATTGCCCATGCCAGGGGCATACCGCGCCTGTCGGGCATACCGGTTCCCTTGGCCGCTGGGGTCCACACTTCCAGACTGTGGGCCGAGTGCGTCACCAGTCCCAAACATGGTATTGCCGGCGGCTGCGATCGCATTCCGTGGGGCGATTTTCGTATTTGGGAGTAGTGCATTCGACGAGTTCGTTCGAAACGCCGCCCCGTTGAACGGATCCATCGTGGGCTGCTGGTAGTTGGGGGGCGGAACAGGGCCGTAATTTGATGTCGGGGTCTTCGAGCTAATGGGCGTCGTAGAAGGTGACTTTTCGACCGGCGTCATCGTGCCAGCCAAGGATGTCGGTTGTGGGGGGGCATTAGGGGTTGACAACGATGCAGGGATGCTCACGTTAACTTGGAAAAATGGGTACTGCAGCGCTTGGCTGGACGTTGGTCTTTGGTTTGGGTCATACTTCATGAAGTCTTGCATTAACTGGATGGCTTCGGGGCTTGCGTGGGGAATGATCGACTGCAACGACGTCGGAACAAACTGTGGAAATCGGTAGTTCATCTGCGCAGCCAACTTCATGCCCTCGGGCCACGTCGCGTGGGTTGGATTGCCCAGTACGGAGCAGATCTTGTATATTTGGTCGCCTTCACTACTTCCAGGGAAGAGCGGCCTCAACGTAAACATTTCTGCCATGATGCATCCCATTGCCCACGCGTCGATGGGGGAGTTGTACGTCGTGGACCTCAAGAGCACTTCAGGAGCCCGGTACCACCGAGTTGATACGTAGTCGGTGAACGGAGGGCGTGATCGGATCTCTCGAGCCAGACCAAAGTCCGCCACTTTGACCACGTCCCCCTTGACAAGCATGTTTTCAGGCTTGATATCGCGGTGGAAGAAACTGTGTTTGTGCATGAAGGCGAGGCCTTGGAGCATTTGGTACCTAGGATACAATCAATCGTTACGCTGTAGACAGAGGGCTTCTCCTTGTACATCAAGTTGCGAATCTTGGACTCGGGAAAATGCCTGTCCCGCTTCTTCATCGTCTCGTACAAGTTGTTCTCCATAAACTCAAAAACGAAGAAGAGCTCGTCGTTCTCCCGTATGACTTCCTTTAACTTAATGATGTTGGGATGGTTGAGTTTTTTCAGGGACTACAAAGCAAGGGCGTCGTGACCTGGCGAGAAAGTACACGAAGCAAGCAAATCATTGACCTCACCTTCACTTCTCGCAGCTGCATGCACTCCTCCCACGTGTAAAACTTCTTCTTCATCTTCTTCACAGCGACCTGTATTGCTCCCACTGTGATCTTCGCATTCGAGCACATGAGATTGATAGGTGCACGCACCACTTCTCCCGATGTCCGATTCACAGCTTTGAGAACCGACCCATACGTGCCATCGCCCAATTGCTTGGTAACTTTGTAGCGGTTCATTTCACAGACAGATCAGACTGCTCTATCGTCGGCCCCGTAAAGGATTCCCGCGTGGCTTGCCGCTCTCCTCGCTCTCGTCGCTGTTGCCCTCTCCTTCGTAGGGGTCTCTTTTGAAGTCGACCGTTTCTTGCGTGAAACTCCTCGCGATATCTAAAATAGTTGCACTTGCTGTGCCCCGGGGCATCCTGCCGGATACGATCGCATCCGGATATTTCGGGTGATTCCATGCCGTTGACGACAACGTACGTGATCGAGGTGTCGGCGTCGCATTCGCAAGACGTGGGTGTTGTTAGAGCCCAAAGAAGGAGTTGGCTTGAAAACACCCCAGAGTAGTGTGGCGCCATGCAGTGGTGCGCACACAAGACGTTTGTTTCCTCCTGTCGCGCTTGTGTTCGGCGGTGTGGATACAGTCGCAATGGACTTCAACTCCTGACGACGAGACGAGGTAAGTCGCACAACTTCTCTGAAGCTATGTCCCCAAACCTTGCGCGTCGCCGTACTCAACGGTTTTTCGAGTGTGATGAGGGCAACGCGCATCTAAATCTAAGCATTTTTGTAGGGTAAGGTTGTTCTGGCATAACTTGCAGTCAAAGCTTTCGCTGTAAGGAATCACCACTACGCGCAACGTAACAAACTAGTCAGGTCTTCAATTCATTCTTCCCAGAGGACATGTCGAAGTCGACCTCCCACGTTTGGATCAAGTTGTTTGCAAGCTTATTTTACTTACTCCTCTTCCCTCTTACACTTTATTCTCGGCCTTGCGGTGACGCGGTGGCTCGCTCGCGGCGCTGAGGACTCGACTGCACTGCCGCAAGTTGGCGGTCTATTTGACTTGGCAATCGACGGTAGATCTTTACTCGAGTGTGATTGGTGGAATGAATAGAACGTGGTAATATTCAATACGGATTGGTCATTTTTTGTCCAATAATATCGACTTCTTTCCCTTCGAGCAAAGTGAGGAGTGTTGGTTTTCTCTTGTGGTTTGTATTTAACAGCGACCGAGCGTCGACCGTTTTGTAAAAATAGTTTACAGTTGTCCTTGCGGCTGAATACACGGCACGAGCGAGCGGCACCACTTCCATCCCTACGCGGCGTACCCCTGGATGGCGACGAGAGATATCACCCGTCCCTTCGTGATCTTGAGGACAGATGTCAAGGTGAAAGTGGCAAGGCGTCGTCAGATGGCGTCGCATTCGCCTGACGTGCACCACGAAGCCAACTCCCTCATGCGAAATGCCGAAATGCGGTCCGACATTGATCTTGAAGCGGCAGCGTCGTTAGCCCAGAACACACCTGTATGGGTCGATGCCGTCACAGATGTAAACATCCACATTGCGCGCGTGAAAGACCTGAGTACGGCGACATTTCTTGGGTAAAGTTTCCTCATTCTTGTGGACGTGTAGTGGACAAGCTGACAAAGATTCGGACAAAGCGGCTCATGGTCCGCTTTGACGACTCCGAGACAGCCCAAGAACGCGAGATTGAGAGCATCACGGCCGACATCACGGCCGAATTTCGGAAAGCTGAGGGGATACTCAAGCGAAAGATGAACGGCAAGGATGGCGTGTCCGACGCGGATGCAAAAACTCGACAGAATGTGCAGCGGGCGTTGGCAACGCAACTGCAAACGCTGTCGGGGGAGTTCCGCAAAGCGCAAAAAGAGTATTTAGATCGCGTAAAGACACAGCGCCAAGGTCCCAAAGAATTTGATTTTCTATCCGAGGAGAAGAAGCCCAAGCGCAGCACTGGCATAGACGTACGCATCATTCTTCTCCCGATCGTTGGCCTCATCGTGTGGTATGGCGCAGGGAGGGTTCATGCAGGCCCAACTGGCAGAAGTCGAACTAGCAGAAGACCTGATCAACGAACGAGACCGCGAAGTGCAACAGATCGCGACGTCGATTCAGGAGCTGGCAACAATTTTTAAGGAACTAGCGGTGCTTGTGATCGATCAAGGCACGATCTTGGATCGCATCGACTACAACATGGAACAAGTCGTTGAACGGACGCAAGCTGGGATTGTCGAGCTCGAAAAGGCCGAGACGATCCAGAAAAGCGGGCGGCCCATGAAGTGTATAGGCATCCTTCTCGCCCTCATCACGGTGATGACCATCATACTCATGCTCAAGCACATGCACTAACCTAGCAAACGTGTATGCGTCATAATGGACTTGCTTCACTTGGGCCTCTCTTGACCAACATGGAACCGCGGTTGACCATTCTCTGCTTCAGCTTGCAACGCCATGGGACCACTCAACCGCGTTCCATCAGTTTGATAGCTGGGTTCAGGGGGCTGGACTTTTCTGCGCGACGGCCTTTACCTCCAGGCTCGATGGAATTGAACGAACAAATCGGAGGTCACGCCCGTTGACCAGGCAAGCGATCGTAGAGGACTTGCTCGAGAGCAACCCAAGAAACCATCACCTCGTCCAGCTCTAGCAAATCTGTTCATTGGAGCTGGTTTGCGCAGTTTAGTGCAACCGAGTTACGCTAGGTCGTTGAGCGTGATGCAAAGGTAGCCGAAGACGGCGCCAAGACAAGGTCGGGCGGGACGCACACTATGCAGAGCCCAGCCTTGTGGTCGTGCCGCCTATTGCCGGTGAAAACAAGACGCTCGAGCATGGATTGCATGGCTGGCGCTGTTGGGGTCGAGGATGAAGGAACGTGGTTGCAACCCAACGAGTCCGTCGAAGCATGCAACATACTCATCGAATGCGCGGATCGTGGCTTGGGCGACGACCTTCGCCATCCCACGTCGACGAAGTGCTTAGTGAAGGCACCTCTAAGCACAAAGGTCGCATGGCGCACCATACCACAAGCTGCGAGGTCACCACGATGCGCACGCCTGCATCCTCGTCGCTGTCGTCGGTCTCTATTTTTGCTCGTTGTGCGCCGGGTGAAGATGTATTCACATTGCTGGCTGGACGTCTTGGTTCTCGTGCGGCGTTAGCAGCTGAAACGACGGTGTTGGGTTCTGCACGGCATGGTCGACGAGAGCAGTGGCGTTGGGACAAGAGAGATGGGTAGAACCAATATTGAAGCATCCCGTCGGTGGAATATGCTTCACAGTCGACCGAGTCGTTTGTGTACACACTGTTAAGGCCAACGATGTCTGCCTTCGCTTCGCCGACTTGTCGATACACGCCAGGATGGCCGTGTCCCCGTCGAGATACCGACGAAGAAGCGACTTGACTGCGACGACGTACGTGGTCAGTTGCCCGAGAAAAAGCGTCTAGAAGTAGTTGCTGTGCCCGCGCAATGCACGCAAATAGAGGGAGCGCTGGACCGGCCGTAGCAGGGCGATGGACGCCCACTGTTAGTCGATTAGCCGAATCGAACATGCCGAGTTGTCTTTGGATCGTTTCTGCATTTTTCTGGCAATGCGCATCGTCAACAGGTGGGGGTTACCACCCCCCTCTCTCTAGTTCGGTCGGGCCGGCGACCCACTCAAAGTAGCACGAAAGCAGCCCCCCGTGTGCCGTCGCCGTGGCAGAAATGACGAGTGCCGTTGGGGAACAGGAAGCGTCGCAGGTCCAGGAAAGCTCGGCACATGTTGGACCGGACGAATGCATCGTGGTGTTTTCGACAGATTCAAATTTTTCCACGTGCTGGATCCATGCAGCGCTCGCGAGATGCGATCTGTACCAGCTGCCTGCCAGTGGCGATATCCTTGGGTTACACGCTGCAACGGCTGGAGGATGGATGTTGTTAGCGTCGCCGTGCTCAGTGACCGCACCTCGCAGCTGACGCCACTCGTCCAGCCAGCAAGCTGCTTTTCGGCCTGCCGCATCTCCAATTTCATCCGGCTAGCGACTTCGTTCGTTCCAACCTTCAAGGTGGTTCATCCTGAAGCAGTGGTGATGCTGCATGCATGCATGACCTACGATCGCACGATGCCGTATCAACGAGCGTGTTCTCGTTGTGATCTACCTGGATCGGGGAACGGGTTTGACAGGATTCAGTGGAGGGAATGTCTCTCACGCAGAGCATTCAACACAGACCGCTCGGGGAGCTCGCGCGGCAACAACGACGACAGTCGGCGGCTATCGCGAGACAGGCGCCGAACACAAGTGATTGGCGTGTAAAACGCAATACGTTAATCAGGTTAAACACGAAAGGTGGCAGCTGCGTCAGCAACATCGACGAGTTGCAATGCCACCACCGACAACAGAGTGGATCACGAGCTTCTTGGCAAAAGCGCGTAAGGAAGAGTTACCACCGCCATTTCTTGGACCGCTGGCAGCACTCGTCAGCTCCGACGTTGCCTCGTCGTGGCTGACCATGTATCTCCTGCGTCCCGAGTCGTTGACCGAGTTTGATGGGCACAGTGTGGACGGGATCGACGACATTGTTGGACTCGCATACGTTGTCGCAACAAACAGGACGAAGGTGCACTTTTGGTTCCACCCCAAGACCTGTCGTGATGTGGCAAATCCATCTATCCTGGCGCTTCTCCATCGCGTCCGAGCGCAACAACCGGCGGTGCTCCGATTGCCAGGATTGGAATCGAGTTATTGCACATACATCGACGCCAACGTGCGCGGGGGTGTGCAGTGGAAGCCCACGAATGGTTACGAGCTCCATGTTCTCGACCCTGCTGTCGTCGTCAAGGCCACCGCACTGGGAAGCTCATGGACGGTGGACGGCGAGACGTTTGAGATGGACGTTGCCGATCCCGGCGACATTGCCCCCATTTTGAGCTTGGCTAGTGTTGGGTACGATCCAACATACCTTTCAGAGCTCATGCGCCATCCAATCTTCAGCAAACTCGCGCGGGTCGTTCGAGTGGCGTCGACGAAGCAACCAGTGTCTTGGTCGCTGGTGCACTCGGATTTCTCGATCGGGCTGTTGGGAACTATCCCAGAGTACCGACGCAAAGGGTTCGCCGCGTTGGCTTTGGGGTCGACGATTGCAGCGTATAGGACGTTGGCTGCTGCCAACGAATCCCGCTGGTTCGGAGTGCAGCCGCACTGCTTTGTGCTATCGAGCAACATTGCAAGTCAACACGTCATGGCGACCGCGGGTTTCAAGACGGTCCCAAACAAAACTTTCCACTGGATGCGACTCAACCACGAGTAAACTATTTCCGCTTGTTGTCGGTCCAAGAAGCACATGCACACAAACCTTATCGTCAACCTCACCACTACCACATTGACTTCATGATTCAAGCTTAAGTTGTCGCGATGCCACCTCTTTAGACCTCCTCATCGCGCGACAAGCTACAGCCGGTGTTGTTCATTTTTACCTCATTTGAATAAAACGTCTGTTTTCAAAAAGGACGTTTTTCGCCATGCGAACAATCCGAGGTCGAGCTCCATGGCGATCACGGTGGTGAGGCGGTTCGTGTCGTTGGCGCTCGGCGAGCCCTTGCCGTCCCCATTCGTCGGCCCTTTAATCAATCATCTTGTGTCAAGCCCAGCCTCTCCTCGCCTGCTAAAGCTATACGTGCTGCGAGAACATTCCATTCAAGACTTCGACGACGAGAAACCTCCGCAGCTGGATGGCGACTCGGACGCAATCGTTGGGCTCGCGTTCTCGTTTGTGTCGGACAACCAACATGACAAATTTGGTCTGCATTTTTGGTTCCGCTCGTCCATCGCACCGTCTACTGCGACTCGTACTCTAGCCAAGTTCCTGCGTCACGCCACCACTGGCATGGGCCCGCACATGCTGGGGCTCCGGGCAGTCGAACACAGCCATTACGTGGCCATTCAAGACAGCGTCACGCAAGTGTTGTGGAAAGACACGAATGGATGTAGGCTCTATCTTCTGGACGCCGCCACTCCCGTGAAATCGTTGCCCATCGGGGCCACGTTCAACGTTGACGGCGACGTGTACATGATGGACACGGCGGTGGCCACCGATGCAGCACCCATTCTAAGCTTGTCCAGTATCGGTTACGGCGACGAGTATATTGTGCAGCTGCTAAAGCACCCAGTCTTGAGCAAGTTGATGCGAGTGGTCCGCGTGGTTGCGACCAAGACTCCTGTGTCGTGGGCGCTTGTTCACCATGATTTCTCTCTCGGACTCGTGGGAACCGACCCCGCCTACCGTCGCAAAGGGCTCGTCCGACTCGCATTTGGATCAACTATTGACGCGTATCGAGAAGCGATTCGCAGTGGAGTTGACGGCTGGTTTGGGCTGCAGCCGCATTGTTTTGTGCTTTCCGACAACTATGCCAGTCAAGGGCTCATGGCGTCCATGGGATTTGTCCATGTGCAAGACAAGGAGTTCCACTGGATGGGCGTCATTGTTTAGTCGTCGTTATCGATATGTCGTGTGTGGGCTAAGAAAGTCGACATGGCGACGTCCATGGGAGCGCTCCATGCCTTGCTACAGCTGAAGCGGTGCCGGAGTGGGGCAGCCTTGCCACCCCTCATGGCTGGAATACAGGGAACACGTCGGAGTTCTCGAATGTTGTAGAGATTGGGTTAGTTTCGCCAATCTAAAGCAGCCAAGTGTTCCATGGAGGATTCATCGAGTGGAAGGGAATCGGTGGAGGCCGACCATCGCCTTACACCGCCGATCGCTCCAACTGATATCGAGCAGATGCCAATACTATTTGCGCATACACCAAGTGCAGGGGGGTCACCCATCGAATGAAAGCGCTCCGGTTGCGAATTGTCGAGCCAAAGAGCAACGTGTGGCCAGAGTCCGTCACCGCCAACCACGAGTGCCCATTGACGGCGTCGCTTTCGTCCCAGCAAAACAACACCTCGTTTTCCTTTGTCTCAAGCACGCGGAACGTCGCGACGTGTTCGCCTTCTTTGAACGCCATCGCATCGATCTCGGCGTCCGTGGTGCTCCCTGCTCCCGCCAGACGCAAGATCACGCGTTCGGCCTGGAACACGGGTGACTGGAAGAACGCCTTCGCCGCAAGCTCGACACTGACCGGTTTGGACAACGTCGTCTGGTACACATCGACGTGTTGGTCTGGTGTCGAGAGGAATCGTGCAAACAAGTTCGTTGCCTGCACAGACGAGAGCGGGGTCGGAGCAATGTTTCGGATTCCGAACGAAACGACAGCAGCAGTGGACGCGGCAGCGACCACGGAGAGCTTGGCCAAAGTAGACATGATGGATTCGTACAGTTGAGAAATGACAAACGTCGGC